AGCTCTATGAATACCCTGCAATTCTCATGTTTCTTTCACATTTTGCTATACAGAGGTTTATGGGGTGTTGATAATAGAATTGCCTTCCTAGATTCTTCTAGCAGGAATATCCCATGAATGCAGTTTCATTAACAAAAACCCCCTCTGAATTAATATCATTAGTAAAATATATTAATATGAAGCAATTGGAACACTTATTCCTGAGAATGAACTTACTACTCTGAACACAAAACCATATTTCACACTTTTTTCAAAGATAGGCTTTTTTTAGTTAAATAAGTTTGCTTTTTTATTGTGCAGTTTAGCAATGATGGGCCAAGCTTAACTGTGAGGGAGATATGATTGTAAAAATAGATCATTGTCTTTAATCATTTTTTGCTTTTGTTGATGTCAATACGTTTACCATTGTCAGATTCAAATCACAACTGTGTAATTATGTAAAAAGTCTTTTTTATTTATTTGAAATTAGGTTTTAGATATGCTTTTTAAAAGATTTTAACATCTGGCTGGACAGTGTTCCATTAATGCATTGATTGTGTCTTTCTTGTCTTGTGTTAATAAATAATGATGCCTGTCTGTTTTTTATTATATCATTAACATTTTATCCCATGTTTTTTTCAAAGCCTGTTGGATATTACCAACTTTAACTCCAGTTGGTGAAGTCTGCACACATAATATTCCCTTGTCCAATTAATTCCACACACCCCTATAAAGAAAATTGAATGGTGAGATAGTTGGCCAAATAATCTAGTGAGTTTCTGTGATTGAATGTTATTTGGAACTCACTAATCCTAGTCTAATTCTAATCATTACAGGACTTATTCGAAACACTAAGCTGATTTTCGGCAAACTCCCTGAAGTTAATTACTATAATTAAATTATTTTTAAAAAAAATAAAGAACAGAACAACCCCCAAAGTTTTTTTTTTTTAAATAAATGCTAACTCAAAAAGGGAAAATACTGTCATTTGTGCTGTTATTTCTCCTACATTCCTGCAGAGCAAGTCTTCTGGCATAAATTAAGAGCTAGGAAGAAAAGCAGAAATTTCTATCACTCAGGCTGAAGCTCAAGACAACCACAGAAAAGTAATCAAGAATTTGTGATCATCTAGGCCTACTGGATTTTTGCAGCCCATATCCCAGCTAAGGCACTCATGTCTGTCTACAAAGTGCATTCAGGTTTCTATCACTGCTGGCAATAAACAAGAACACTACCCTAGAATGAACTACTGAAACTGTACTTTGGGGGCAACGTGCTTCAAAGATATCCTATTGTAAGGCAATATGATTTTGAAACATCAGGCAACGAGTGTCTATGGAGATTCCCAATCATCCAGGTCATGATTGTCCCAAAGGTGTTTTTTCAAGAGGCAACTGGACTTTCTGGTTTTTCTTTGAAGATGTTTCGCTTCTCATCCAAGAAACTTCTTCAGTTCTGATTGGATGATGGGGAATGGAAGGATTTATAATCCTTGCAGACAGCTGGTCATTTGCATTCTTTTAGCAAGTTGTGAAGGCCACCTGGAGGTTTATCTTCATTGTCAGGGTCACCTGAGTGGTGCAAATGTGTGGAGCCTTCTTGGAACTGTTGAGAGGACTGTGTTGTAGTTTGGAGACAGATGATGTTGTAACCCACCCGCTCTGTTAGGAGAGGGGGCTGTTCAATTGACATAGTCACTAGTATAGGTATGTGGATGATACTTGGGTCAAGATCAAAACATAGGAGAAGCATTCACCAAACATCAACTCTGGACAGATACATCAAATTTGCATGGGAAGATCTTAAGGAAAATAGTCTAGCCTTCCTGGACTGTAGAGTACACATTAAGGAAGACAGAAGCCTTGACACTGAAGTTTATAGAAAACACACAAACACATCAGTATTTTGATTCTCACCATCCACTGGAGCACAAAATGTGAGTCATCAAAATCCTACATCACTGAGCTGAAGGCCTGCCTACCAGCAAAGATGGTAAAGAAAAATAAAACACATCAAGGAAGCCCTCAGAACGTGTGGCTATCCCAAGTGGGCCTTCATCAAATCTCAAAAGACCCTACAGACAACCATAACAGACAACACAGAGAACAATAAATGAACCAATGTCAGTCCAGATGTTGCAGGAATATCAGAAAAAACTCAGGAGGATCTTCAGCCAACAAAACATATGTGCATACTTTAAACCCAAGAATATACTAAGGCAGAAGCTTGTCCACCCCAAGGATAAAACACCCAGACACAAACTGAGAAATGTGGTATTTGCAGTACAATTCATGTGCAGATCTGTACACTGGGGAAACAAAACAACCACATCATAAATGCATGGCATAACAAAGCAGAATAAACCCACCAGGACAAGATTCAGCAGTCCATCTGCATTTAAAAGACGAAGGTCACTCTTGAAGACAGCAAAGTCCACTTTTGGACAGAAAGGACCACTGGTTTGAAAGGGGTCAAAGAGGCCATCTATGTCAAAAGTGGACAGCCCTCACTCAACAGAGGAGGGATATGACATCTATCTCCAGTCTTCAACACAGTCCTTTCAACAGCTCCAAGAAGACTCCACCCCATTTGCACTATTCAGGTGATCTTGACCACACAGATAAATCTCCAAGTGGCCTCAAGGACTCTCTAAAAGAATGCAAATGACCGTCTGCAAGGAATATACATCCTTCCATTCCCCACCATCCAGTCAAAGCGGACGAAGCTTCTTGGATGAGAAGTGAAATGTTTTCAAAGAAAAAACCAGAAAGCCCAGTTGCCCCTTGAAAAGACAACTTTGGGATATCAGGCAAAGGAGCACATGTAAGAGCTTGACTTTTAATTGCACCATATACTGTACCATGTTAAGGAAACATAGATAGAGGCTATGATTCTTTTATCTCTAATAAGACAAAGCAGGTATTTGGTTTAAAATTCTATGGTTCACTGGCATGATGCAAAACAATGGTACCAGCCTCTAATATAATTTACAAGAATACAGCTAAAACCCATATATATATCATAGCTATAAAAATAGTGACTGCTGAGAAGAAATGCCAAGATAGCTTTAGCTAATAAAAGGAGGCAATAGGCAATCTCACCACTTTATTGGGTGGTTCAGTCCATTCCTACTCTTCATGACCCAATGGATATAATTTCATCACGATGAGGAACTATTTCTAGCGTCCTGTAAACTGCGGTTTATTTTTTACTAGCCTCACCCAACAGAGTTTAATTGGTGAACAGGCAATCATTTTGTGAGTGTTATTTATTTATTTGATTTGCCAATTGTTTACAAGATAATAAGTATAAATGTATACATAGTTGCGAATACATGAAATGGGTACATATAAGAAAAATAAAAGAATAAGAGAAACAATAGGACAGGGACGGTAGGCACGTTGGTGCGCTTATGCACGCCCCCTACAGGCCTCTTAGGAAAGGGGTGAGGTCAATAGTAGACAGTCTAAGGTTAAAGTTTTTGGGGTTTGGGGAAGAAAGTCGGGTAGAGTATTCCAGACATTGACCACTCTATTGCTGAAGTCGTATTTCCTGCAATCAAGTTTGGTGCGGTTTACTTTGAGTTTGTATCTATTGTGTGCTCTTGTGTTGTTATGGTTGAAGCTGAAGTATTCATTGACAGGTAGGACATTGCAATGTATGATTTTATATACCATGCTTAAGTCAGACCGAAGACGGCGTAATTCAAGGTTTTCTAGTTCTAGAATTTCAAGTCTGGTGGCATAAGGTATTCTACAACGAGTAGAGGAGTGGAGAACTCTTCTTGTGAAATATTACTGGACTTTCTCAATTGTGCTAATATCAGATACGTAATGTGGGTTCCAAACTGATGAACTGTATTCGAGTATTGGTCTAGCAAATGTTTTGTATGCTCTGGTTAGTAGTGTGATATTACCAGAGAAAAAGCTACGTAGGATTAGGTTAACAACTCTTAATGCCTTTTTGGCTATGTAGTTGCAGTGGGCTCTAGCACTTAGATCATTAGAGGTGAGTATTCCAAGGTCCTTTACAGAGCATGGGTCATCAACAAGATCTTGACTATTCAGCTTGTATTTTATTTTCTGATTTTTTTTGCCAATATGTAAGACAGAGCATTTATTTGTTGAGATTTGAAGTTGCCATTTGTTTGACCATTCTGATAGTCAAGATCTTTTTGTAGGGTAGCAGTATTGTCTGTGGTATTGAACAGCTTTACATCATCAGCGAAGAGAGCGCAATTGCTCTTAATATGATCACAGAGGTCGTTTATGTAGAGTATGAAGAGAGTTGGTCCTAGAACACTGCCTTGGGGTACACCACTATTGACAGGTACTGGATTTGATAGGACGCTCCCGATTTTGACCATTTGTTGTCTGTTTGACAGGAATGCTTCTATCCAGTTATTCAGTTGTCCAGAGATACCATAGGATTTTATTTTTAGGAGTAGTTTGTCGTGTACCACTGAATCAAAGGCTTTACAGAAGTCTATGTAGATTGCGTCTATTGCTTTGCCCTGGTCGAGTTGTGTCGTCCATATGTTTTTGCAGTGTAAGAGTTGCAGATTACAGGATAGTTACAAACTCTCAACATTTCGAATGTATGTCCACCCCAAAAGCCGCCTCCTTTCAGTAATTTCTTGTGAAAACAAAAAATACCTCAATTCAAGACGAAAAGAACAACAGATCTTCAGGTCCAAACTTTTCTTCTTTTCACTTCCTCCCATTGCACAGAAGCAGAAGAAGCGCCTTATCAGCTCTCAATTTTTAAATTCGCAGCCGGAATGTAAAGTCTGGAGTTACGTAGAATAGGTCAAACCGTTTTAAATGCACACCTGGGTTTGAACTGTTTTCGCTTGGCCGCTGCGTCTGTAAATATATATATAAAAAAAGTTTTTTACTAACACTCTGCTTTTCTAAGACACAGGCCAAAATTGCAATCCTAAAGTTGCTTATTTGAAGTCACTTCTGAGTACACTTAAGTAGAATCAAGATACGACCCTCTGTATGCAGATTTAATGGTACTTCACTCGCAATAAAAAGGCACGGAAAGGCACGAAACCAGAGACTCCAAAGGCCTCAAAAATACCCATTGCTTTGCCACTCTAGCTTCTACAGGCGTGCAACTCTCTGATTCCCGGCTGTGGTTAGTCTAGACCAAGGGAAAAAGAGAAACTCTATTGTTATCAGGCGGTAGCAAACTCTAGTGCTGGCCTCCGGCGCACTCTATAGTCACAACCCGCCCACCAAAGAGCAACCGCAGGGTAGCGTCCCCCTGGCGGGGATTAGTTTGGTAATGCTGACAAGTACTGGTGGGTCCGGTTTCTTGAGGCGTTAGGGCGATTCCCTCTGGGCAACGCGAAGTCGAGGCGAAGCCCGGAAAGCCTCTGAGGTAAAAGCGGGCGCGACAGCCAAGCGACTCAATTTAGAGCGCGAAGCAGATCGGACGCGACTGAAACCAGCGAGCGCGAGCAGGAAGAAGAAGGAAGGGAGAACGGGGCGGGGGGCGGGGAGAGAAGCGGCTGAGCAAGGTCCGGGGGGGGGGGGGGGCGTTGGGCGACCCCCTTCCAGAGCACGCGCGCATAAAAAAGGCGCGAGGCGCGAAGTGGGGTGTGTGTGCTTTGGAAGCGGTTGGAATTTGGCGGGAGGGGAAGCTTGCGATGAGCCGCGTCTGTGCAGACGAGCGCTCAGCCCTTCGTCCCCAGCTGTTGCACAAGCACCGGGGCTCGCCCGCTGACATCCTTACCTTCTTGCCGCGACTTATCAGTCCAAAAGATCAGGGTTTCCACACAAAAAAAGGGGGGGCAAGGCTTACCGTAAGCTCTCGCTGGCCTCCGTCTGCCCAGTCAGTTTACACCCGCTTACCGTCCTCCCCAGGCCATTGGCTTCAAGCAGAGCCGACTTTTTCACATGTGCCGACGCCAGGGGATGGGAGTACTTTTTAGAGCCAGCAAATGTCACAGAAGTCGGCTTGCTCGATACTCCGCGGCGGTGGTTGGTGCCAGTGCAAATATCGGGTTAGGTAGAGGTTATGCTCCACTTCCAGCAGACCCTCAAGTGCCAGAATCAGTAATGATTTTATACCTTATTAAAATCCTTTAAGAAGAATTAAGTCCACGGTAGCCCGAAACCCGCAATCTTGTAGGGCCGTTTTCTACTAAAGGGCATTTGTTTTTGTGAACTACAACTCACTTCGTCGGATGCATAGACTAACATGATTTAAGTTAGACTTGGGAGCGAAGAGGAAGGAAGACGGGTGACATAGAGGTCAGATTACACATGCTCTATCAATAATTATAATGAGTTATATTGGGACCTTTGAGATAGCCTGAAACCTTTTAAATTTAGGTGAGCTCAGCAGTCTCATTCAAGTTGTACTGTGGACTTTCATTGGTTTCAGAGTTACTCCAAAATCTGTCACAAAGATTTATATCATGGGTAGAAATGCCGATATTACTTTTCTTTTGAGTTTGATGTGAAATCGATGACTATTAATTATTTTGTGCAAATTGTCTTATGTAGCATTCAGAAGGGCATTTCTGGGCATGTGGAGGAAGAGTGTGGGAAGGCACCACTAATCTGTTACTGTAAATGAGAGGGAAAGTAGGCATCTGCAGACTGTGGAGAGTCTGGTTACCTCATTAGTATTATTTCCCTGTTTTTGATTACTTGTGAAATCAGCTTCAGGATGTCTGCATGCAAGACAGTGCCTGAGAAAGTGCAATGTCATTGTCCAGTATAGGTTGTATTTTATTAATATGTTTGAATGAATTGAGGTATAGGTTGGACAACCAGTGATGTTCTGTTCTTGTACAGCAGTCTACCTTATAACTGGTCTTCTATGGAATTGATCTGCCTCTGTTAATTTGTTTGTTACACTTTCCTTGTTTTTTTTTATTTTTAAGTTTGCTACACATTTCATGGGGAGGAGAGAAGGCTTGCATAATCATTTCGCCCAGTTGTTCTTCCCAAGGAGTTTTGCCTGATACAAACTGATACTCTTGGTGCCAGGTGGAGCCTGATTTTTTTCAGATTTTTATTTAATGTTTAAATAAATCATTGCAAATTGTTTATTTAAACTCTTTTAATAATAACCATCTAATGAATTCTTCAGTGTGGCTCTAGTGGCCTGTTAAAAATGCTGTCACTGTTTTTACTGTGTTTATTTTTAGTCTCATTTTTATTTAAGTGTGTGTCTTTTGTGAGTAGCATACAGGGTTTTTTATATTGAAAATAGGGATCCAAACTCATAAAATTGATATATGTGCCTGAAATATGAACAACACATTGTATTTTTCAATATATGAAAACAGTTAAAATTATAACAAGAAAAAACGTGTATTTCTATATTAGCTCCTTTTTTGTATTTTGAGCATAGATGTCTCCTGCAGTCCTATCTCTTTATTGAGTTGCTATTTTTTTGCATCTAATTCCTATTGATAGTATTTTGAATTCTTAAGCAAAAAACTTTATATCAGTTTTAGAGGCAAGTTCTTACATTATTTCTATAAATGTATGCTATGATATTGGCTTAGTGATTTAAAGGGGCATTGCCAAACTATTCTAAAATAACAGGGGTGTTTTTCCCAAGTCTCTAATACATCTTTTGGAAGATTAAATAGGCCCTATTTAAAATTAACCATATGCTTATTATGCTGTAAATTACCTATACTATATAATTTCAATGAATAAAGTAGATTGCTGAACAATAGTCTTCAAAAAGAATTAAACACTGGGAAGGTGAGAGGTTGCCCAACCGTGAAGTAATATTAGATAGTTACAGAATTACAATTTTATTTTTATTTAATAATACTTTTTATATCTACAAAAAGTGTAGAAGACAAAATAAACAAATATTTTTAAACAAGAAGCATGCCAGATAAGAGTCTTCTGAATACAAAGTTAAGAGGAACAGCAAAAATTTTTTGAATTGAAATAAGAAATATTAGGCTCCTCAAGAAGATTTTAATCTGAAAATTGAATTGAAAATGGCCCATTAGAGCTTCAACAGCTGCAGTTGTATACCATTGCTAGTATATTATGGCACACCATATTATTAGCTGTATATCTCAGTTTATAATATTGAAATGTTTTATTTTTTATTTATTTTTTCTCTCCAGAATTAATGAGTTTAGGTCTATAAGAAAATTATAACTGATACTTAGTGAGATTTTAGTTTACCAAACAAAGTAAATGTATCTTATGTGAAGTTGATTCACAGCACTGCTGATGGTTTGATGAAGATGGATATTTAGAAACTGCAAATAAAGAGAATTTAGAATTTAATGTGTATGTGTCTCAGCCTCTCTCGAGGGAACAAGATGTACTGAACAGGTATAATCACGCGGTTAGGCTCCAAATGCAGTTGTTGCTTTAAGATGGGAAAGAGGAATGCTGAAAAGCAAATTGATACTTATTAATTGTCAATATGCTTTTTATTGCTTAATTTTTAGTTGATTAATAAATAATAGTAAAGAGCAGGTTGTGAGTGCTTTTCCACAACTCCATCTTCTGTCTCCATTGTGACCTTTTATGGATGGGATGCTCTGCTTAGTATCACTTAAACTTGGTCATGTCTCATTTAGACTATTGCAGTGTATTTTATATGGGGCAATCCCTGAAGACCACCTGGAAGTTTTAACTGGCCCAAAATGCAGTGACTCCAGGAATTATGGGCGCTACTCAAAATAATACCGTTAGTTGTTTATTTGTGAGTGCAATTGAAGAATCTCATTGTCTCTTTAAAGGCCTTCATGGCTTAGAACCCGGGTATCTTTTGGACTACTTAACTCTCAGCAGTTTTTGCTTATTTGTCAGAATCTAGAAAGTAAGAGTTTATCTGGATCTCTATCCGTACCTGTAATGTTGGCATCATAGGCCCTTCTAAGTACCTGCCTCCCTTCACTAGAAAAGCATTCTCCTAGAGGTCAAATCAGGCCTAATGTTCTTTTATTTCTGAAAAATAATTAATACTTAGGGGGGGGGGGAAATCCGGTGTTGATCCCTCCTGCAAAGGGAATACTTATAGAGTTTAGTTGTTCATTGCTGCCTTGGGTTTTTGTGCATTTTTAAAATCTTGTTACTGTATTAGTATATAAAAAACTGGAAACAGCATGTAATTCTGTTAAAATAATCAAACCACTTTTTAAACTGAAAATGAAAAAAAAAAAGACATTTTTGCCATTGTGAAACAGGAAACAAATAGGAAAACTAAAAAGATTATCAACATAATCAGAAACAGAATTTTGGGAAGGATGGAAAGAAAGAGAAGGAGAGGAAGTCCTACAGCAAAATGTTTTCACTATAATGGTGATAATTCTACTACTGGAGACTAAAAGATGAAGCTGCAGAAATACCATCCAGGAAAAAGTCTGTCTATGCGGCCACTAAATGACAACAATAAACTTGGTGGCACAATCAATCACTCATTCAGTCAATATTCTTATGCAACAAATTAGTACTTAGGCACAATTATTCAAATGCAATAAAAATTCATACATTATATAACATCTATTGTGATATGTACAGATAGACGCAAGTTAGCATAAGTCACCTTGTAAGATGAGTGGCCAATAAATTTTATAAATAAAATAAATTATTTTAAAGAAGTATTTTTAAGATGCTACAATTACTCAAGAACTCTAATTCAATTTTACCTTTCAATAATAGCATTTGCATTGCCAACTAATACTAAATTAAGTGTTAAAATATGTAGGTAGACTAAGGATAATAGATTTTATTATTCAAATTATTTTCTGTATCAAAAAGTGCTGTAAAAAGTGGAAGCTATTTTAATAGCCCTTTGGTTAATAAGAGTTATGAAACCGCACAGAACGGTAGTGGCCAGACGTTGGTGTACATTTTTCCAATTCACTATACATTTCTTCTAACGTATAAAGGTTTTAACCGTTTTAGTTTCAATAGTTTATCATCTCACACTATTTATTCTACCAGAACACCAACTCTGGTGAAAAGCATACTCTGGAGAAAAGCAACTCTGAACAAGTGTAATAGAGATGCCCCCACATATAAAATAATTATAAAAATAGATCTTTGATAATTATATATGGTGTAAAGCGGAAACTGCAGTCTTCAAATTCTCATCTTCATAATAAATTCACTGCATGTTTGGGATCAAGCCATGCTATATGGATCTGGTTCTTAACAATATGTTGGGAATTAAAATAATTTTGCACTTAATAATAGGTATTTTTTGTATAATTTTATTGGAGACTTCTTTTTAAAAAACCAATACTAACTAATATAATATAAGAAAAAGAAGAAATCAAAGAGAAGGCTAAAAGTGCAAGAAAGAAAAAAGGAAAAAATAGAAAAGAAAGAAAAAAGATACAAAGAAGTAGCTTCTGATCTTTATAGCAATTATAAATACAA